CTACATTACCATTTTTTTCTGGCAATAAATGACTGAGGAACTTGCTGAGTAACTGCAGTACAGGTGAGCAGTCACTTCCCAGAGAAGTGACTCAGAGCAATTGGTATTTAGGGCTGCGCACGCAAGGAATGACACTGAGTGTTTTTCATACCTAAGAGCAAACTTCTGTACACTTTCCCAGTTGGGGAGGTGACAGCACAGCACTTCATGCTTGCTTCTGCAGCCTGTGTTGTGTGGGAAGATGTAGATGGTAGGCACTTACTCCTGCTGGTTTTATTGTGTTAGAGGAGATGTTCTACTTACAGTAGCATTTTGAGAACTGTCCAAAAAATGAATTTAACACCACCAGGAACGTGACAGAATACAGCAAGTGTCGAAATTAGTTCTTAGAGAGGCTAAGAGATCAGTTTATGAAGTGCTGATGTCTTGTATGCACTACTGCTATCACCTCTACAGTTGCTCAAGCTCTGACCATTACGTTTGACACCCCTTCCACATCTGACAGCAGTGCAATTAGCTATCATTACTGATAGTGCATTTTCAAACACTTTGTGCTGAGCAAGCATTGTTCTTTGCTATAAAGGAGAAACAGATCTTGGTTAAATTCATGGTTTCAAGGGCCAACTTGACAATACTGTCCCTGCTGTTCCTGCGTTCACAGACGTGCTTCTTGATAGCACAGGGTTCAGTCTAGTGCCATTCAGTCTGTGGGACATCATGGCAGCATTCTTACCTTTGAAAAGATGTATGTGTTATAGACATATCTCCAGAGGGAAGATGGCCCTTCTCTGGATTCAGTGCTCATGCAGCTAGACTGCTGCTGGCACTTACACTGTTTGCACTAAAGTCTACTGTGTATTTATGCCCAGACACTAGTACTTTTCAGTATTGTGGCAGCTCTGACTATTGTCATGATTTCATCCCAGCCATCAACCAAGCCCCACACAGTCGCTTACTCACTACACACCACACACACACGTCCCATGGAATGGGGTAAAGAATCAGAAGACTAAAAGTGAGAAAACTCATGGGTTTAGATAAAGACAGATTAATAGGTAAAGCAGAAGCTGCATGCACAAGCAAATAAAAAAAAAGGAATTCATTTACGATGTCCCATTGGCAGGCAGATGTTCAGCCATCTCCAGGAAAGCAGGGCTTCATCACACATAAAGGTTACTTGGAAAGACAGATGCTGTAACTCTGAATGTCCCCCTCTTGCTTCTTTTGCCCCGAGCTTTATGTGCTGAGCATGGCACTATATGGTCTGGGATGTCCTTTGGGTCAGTTGGGGTCAGTTGTCCTAGTTGTGTCCCCTCCCAGCTCTTTGTGCACCCCTAACCTCCTTGCTGGTGAGATGGGGTGAGGAACAGAAAGGGCCTTGACACTGTGCAAGCACAGCTCAGGAACAGTTAAAACATCCTTGTGTTATCAACACTGTTTTCAGCACAAATCCAAAACACAGCCCCACAGCATCTGTACATGTTACCACCAGAATTACATTATCTCCGCTACATAGAGTAATACTTCATTACAAAGACTATTTTTTCTCCTCTTTGACAGTTTTTGAAAAGCACCTTCTCTGGTGCAATGTATGCCAGCATTCTCCTGTGCTGCGTTTTATGTTGCTTTGCATGTAACTTGATAAATACTCTGTGTTTTCTCTGTTGTAAGAGCACAGAACATCCAGTTTCTCTGACATGGCAAAAAACTTTTCACTTATGTTGCTGTTTTCTTAAGCCAATCTGGTTTCAACAGCTTATTATGTTGTTTCTGTTTCTTATAGTCTTTGCTGAAGTTTAACAAAACATTGAAAAATGTACTGCTTGTCTTCCCACATTTTTGCCTGGGCCGTGGGCTCATCGACTTGGCCATGAACCAAGCTGTGACTGAAGTATATGCAAGGTTTGGTAAGTAAAGCCAGTAAGCAACAAGTTATATCCATGTCATGCGTCCTGACCTTGGATGAGATGTTTGGAAGTGTTATCTTGGAAAAGTAGTAATGTTTCTGAAATTCTCACCTCTCACATCATCAGATGGATGAGGACTATGAAAGTTCACCTTCTCTGAAGAAAGACAGCTTCTGATATCGCTGCCAGAACTCTACGGCTCAACCAGTAGTTTGCATTGGAAATGGACCCATTTGTGCAGTGCCAGACTCTGGTGTCTTTTTATCCTTTGTTCAGAATTCCTTAGATCATTACAGGAGGATATATTATGTCATTTCATTTGAATTCTTTGGTTAATGTTTAAAGTGACTGTTGTTCTTCAAATACATCCTCTTAGGATGTGATTGCCTTTGATATCAGACAATTTATTAAAAGAATAGCAGACAACTTATTAAAAGAATAGTCATACAGCAGAACTCATCTCATATTTTTATTGAGCAGAACTCATATTTTTATTCAGAAAATAGGTGTCTTTTCACACAATCTATGCAAGTTTCATGTTATGGTACCTAAATTAGTGTATATTCAGAGAGCTTATATTTATTTTTACTCTTATGCAGCAGCTGAGCTTGGAGTGCATTTTGTTAAGAATCTTTGTAAGACACTGAAAAATGAAAACTGTTAACTGATCATGAGGAAATAAAGTGCAGTAAACCGTTAGGATTAGGCCTGTTCTGAAGAGCAGTGGTTTTTTTCTAGCAGTATTTCACCTTTCTTTCTGGTGCTCTTTCTCCAAAGGCGAGGAGCATGTTTCCAATCCCTTTCAGTGGGACTTTGTTGGAAAGAACCTGGTTGCCATGGCTGTTCAAGGGGTTGTGTACTTCATTCTGAATCTCCTTATGCAGCGCCGTTTGTTCTCCACAAGATGGTTTGTCTAAAAGCTTCTATTAATGTTCCTTTGTTAACAGGATGAGTGTCTTTTTTATGTTTCTATGTCTCTCTTTTTCTTTTTTTTTTTTTTATTTTTTCTCTGAATTTGTCAGCTTTTTACTTTTCTATTTACTTGACTGATCTCACCTTAATTTATTGATACCCTGAGTCAAGAAAGCTTTTAAAAATGTTCATTATCTTGACAGGATTTAAGAATATTTTACTTTAAAAGTTGATTTTTTTTGAAGTAAGACTGTAATGTAATATTTTTTCATTTAAGATACTGTAATAGTGAGATTTTAAAATTAGTTGGAAAGTTTGTAGTGTCCTAAGTACTGTCATGAGGTACTAGCCTGACATCCCAAGACAGCAATTCCAGTCTATGGCACAGGACAGTTGTAGCCTGGACACTGTGCAAACTTCCCCTCTCTGCTTTACTGGTGTGCCTCTTCCTTGATGAAAACAGGTGTGAGTGGGTCATTCAGTCCTGTTCAAGATTGCCAATGAGAGTACTAATTGGTACAACTATAAAAATACCATTTTACAGACAGAGCTACTCAAAACTTCCATGGAACTATCACTAGCTACTAAGAGCAGCAAAAGAGTGAAAGCTGTGGCTTAGGGGCTGTTTTTGTCATATCACTGACTGACAAAGCATGTTCTTTTGAGAGAGTAATTTCCTCCCTTTTTAGCATTTAGAGATTAACTTTCAGAGGTCAGGGATTCTCCCAACAGTGTGAATATTCCAGCCAATGTCATGCTGTGAAGTTTCAATCTCACTACTTCCACTAGTCACATTTTTGGCAATTGATTAGCCATAGTTTCACGCTGTTATTCTGTTATTCTGCACCCAGAGCAACTCAGTATCTTGGTTTTTTCCAGGTTTGCTGAGACTGCCATGTCACCTATTATTTGTGAAGATGAGGATGTTGCAGAAGAAAGAAAAAGAATTATGAATGGAGAAAACAGAAGAGATATCTTAGAATTACAGGAATTGACCAAGGTAATATTTTGAGAAGAATGAAACAAATAAGTCTAATGTAAATTCATTCTTTCAGAATGTACTTCAGCTGTGGATTCAGGTTGTATTGTTTTCAAAATCAACCTCGTGCCTTAGAAAATAATAAACATTTTAGAAGTCAAGGTTATTTCCTTTGACTAGAAATAAATAGTGAAGTCCTGCAAGGACAATGCAACTCTCCCTGCTTAAGTTGGGGTTTTTACCTCTATTGATCTGACATGACTTATCTATTGACTGTCCATTTCTACTACCAGTGTTTTTTTCTACATTGCTTTTTTTTTCCATAGGTGAGTTTCAATCTCAAGTAAACTATTTGGTTGTTTTCACATCCAGAACTACAGTTATTCCTAATCTATCTTCTTTCCAGACATTGAAGGTGTCTGAGTTATGCTATAAGAATGCATGCAAGCTTGAGCTACACAAATATAAAGATTACACACATTACTGGGATCTCATGAATAGATAACTGGGGTGTCATTCTTCAGCCTATCTTGCTGTATTGTTCCACTTTGGTTTGCTTGTCAGAGATCCCCTGAAACTGGCTCAGACTGGTTAGAGCCTTGGTGCTGACGATGCCAGCATTGTGGGTTCACTCCCTGTATGGACCATTCACTTAAGAGCTGGACTCAATGATCCTTGTGGGTCCCTTCCAACTCAGAATATTCTGTGATACTTTGTCCCAGCAAAGCATTCAGTCTGTCTCCTAGTGCTAAATATATGAAATAAATGGTTGTAGAAAAGCAGAAAAACTGGTATTTTTAGGGATCATCATAGGTTTATTTAATGTAAATAAATTCTGACCTTGTAGAATGCTTACACTTATTAATTTTTTTATTTACTCCTTAGTTCTAAAGTTACCTCATCCCAAAAGCATTAAACTAAAAAAATTTATAAGATTTTCTTTGCTGTAGATGTCTTGAAATAGGAATTTTCTCTTTTTTTCCCCCATCAATATAGATTTATGCAGGTCAGCGCAAGCCTGCAGTGGACAGACTCTGTGTTGGCATCCGTCCTGGAGAGGTAGGTTATTCAATAACACTAGATTACATTCCATGGATCAGTTCAGATTTTATGCAACTACTGATTTGCAAGTTGGAAATACTAAAGAATATTATAAATTTTGCAATTTAGTGCTTTGGCCTTTTGGGAGTGAATGGGGCTGGCAAAACAACAACATTCAAAATGCTGACTGGAGATACTGATGTGACATCTGGAGATGCTATAGTGGCTGGCAATAGGCAAGTACCTTAAAAAAACCCCTGTGATAATCCAGTTAGTGGAGTAGAACTGTCCAGATCATACTCTCAGTGACCTAGCAGCTCTATGGCACTGAGACCACAGCTAACACACATAAAGTATTTTATACCTTTAACACTCTGTTTAGAATCTGTGGCTAAGTTGTAGTAGTGCCAACAGTGGGACAAGGCAATCAGATCTAGTGAAAAGAGCTCACAAACATAAGACAACCAGTCCAGCATGGTACTTTGATCTGAGCTTTGGGATTTTCCTCTGGCTGTTTCTAGCATCTTTGTTTACACAGAGCTGGCATAATGGCATAAGTTAGTACAGTGTGATCTAGTGTGTGCTTATGTTAGTTTACTTCCAGGTAAACTAACTGCCTTGGTTTCTTAGATGTAGTTGGGATTTGATTCTTTGTCCATCAATGTGATTTGAACAATAACTGTTTTGTTGCCAGGATATGGCCCTGGGCACCCTGCTCTAGGTGAGCCTGAGCAGGGTTGGTGGACAAGGTGACCTCCAGAGCCCCCTTCCAACCACAACCGCTCTGTGATTTTGTACTTCTCCTGCTACCAACAAAGTGTTAGCCTTTGTGTCCTGCCTGTCTGTTCCTAGTGACCACTCTGAGTTAAAATCAACTACTTTTTTTGTTCTAGAAATAAACACCATTCTCAAAAAATAAGGTCTGAGTTGCTGTTTAAAGAACTTCTTGTTAAGTTAGCCTATACTTACACAGGAAAATGGGTGAGGGGAAATGGGCTTACACTTAGCCAGGACAGAGATGACTTAAGAATATACTCCTTGCTCTAATATACAGACAAATATTTTAGTAGAACATTTTATCTGGAAGAATTCATTCTCCTCTTAAGAGAGTTGTTGCCCCAGAAAATAAAGATTTAATTCAAACTGTTCTTCTTTATCTTAAAGCTAGTATTACAGAACTAAGATTCTTTCCTTTGTTTCTCCAGTATATTGACCCAAATTTCTCATGTCCATCAAAACATGGGATACTGCCCTCAGTTTGATGCCATTGATGACCTGCTCACAGGACGAGAACATCTCTACTTATATGCACGCCTGCGGGGGGTTCCAGCAGAGGAAATCAAGAGGGTAAAGTAATCTTGCTTTTGATAGTTACAGGGATTATTTGTGATGATTAACTGCGTTCATAACAGGACAGAATTTCCAAAGTGGACTTGCCATCCTGTGTGTTGAAGTCCTGGAAGTGGTTCCTGTCATTTAGACAGTTAAGTACAAGACTGCACTAACAAATGCAGGTTCTCAGGCATTAGTGGTACTTGCAAAACTGTGGCAGCAAAGGTGGAAGGCTAAAGATGCAATTGCTATGACTCAGAACTGCACTGGTTGCTCTTTTGTTCTTGTCTTTAAAGTTGTTTATGTATAAGAAAGAAAACGTGAAGATTCCAGAAGAAAATAATTTAAATTCTTGCAGATAGGAAGTCTACCGCTGAGGTTGCTTTATGGCTTTCGCTCAAGTAGTTGGAACTCCCCTCATCATCATCATCATCGTAAATTTTTTGTACTTTCCTGGTCCAGTTCCAGGATGAATATGCTAAAACCCAGGGTAGTGTCATGTTTCTGCCAGAAGAGCAATGTATCAGCAATCCTGTCTGTTATGCATTAGCTGCTGTGTGAAAAACATAGTCTTTCTCACAGGTCGCTGAGTGGGGCATCCAGAAGCTGGGCCTTCCTCTGTACGCAGACCACCTGGCTGGCACCTACAGCGGGGGCAACAAGCGCAAGCTCTCCACTGCCATTGCGCTGATCGGCTGCCCACCACTCGTCTTGCTGGTAAGAGTCATGTCACAGCTCTGTGACAGTACAGTGGAACACCTCGTGACACTGCCTGCTAAAGAGGTACAAAGAGGTTTATGACAGTCCTGGCAAGCTCGTTTCTGCCCTCAACTTACATCTGTTTTAATTTTGAGTTCTTTAATTTCAGGCATAGACTGGGATGCATAACTATGTTTCCAATGGATCTTAAGTAATTATGAAAGAAAGATCTTCAACAAAGAATGTTTTGAGATAAAATCTATAATCCAGATAAATCCGAATTTAAATCCTTGTTTGGTTTCGGTCAGCCACTTGTTGTCAGAGTGTAGTTGCTCATGTAAAAGATGATCTTCTGGCAAATACCTTGCTGCCATCTCTAGCAGAATAGAGGAAGATAGCTACCCTTTTGCAGCCTTTAATATCTTTGGAATAAATTACACAGATTTATATGAAACTATACAAATGCTGAAATGTAGTTCTTATCAAAATAAGTTATCAGATAATTGCATATTTAAAGAGAAATTCTATATGCAATTACTACAAAAATTCTTTGGATTATACTGTACCACCTTAATCTGTAGGCTAAAAAGACGTACTTTAATAAAATTTTAGTAGCATGGTTCTCAGTGCGATTTAATACACCTTTACGTGTATTCTGACTGCATAGGAAACAGTCAGATAAAATGTTTTCTCATAATTTCTTAAGACAAAATGTTCAACGAAAATTTTTCTATCCAAGATTTTCTTTACATTTTTTGACACTAACTGAGTTAACTGACTTATGCAGGACCAGATTCTTAGCAGGTGTAAATCAGGGTAACTACATTAGTTTCTCGGGTTGAGCAATGTCCTGTATGTTTATGTAAGAAAATTACTTGGTGAGAACTCATTCTCCTCTTACAAGCATGGCTGCCCAGAATAAGCATTCGCTTCCCTGTAGCTGTGCCCTACACAGACAGCATTGTATTCTTACCTGCAGGTTCTTGTTACTTCTTTCCTTACTGCTTTGTGCCAAGAAGTCCATTGGTACCCATTCACTCATGCACTTCTCAAGGTCTATGTGCTTTCTCAAGGCATAGATTACAGTGGAGAAGCAATTATATACTACAGTCCAAACAGTGACTTGTTTCTAAATAGATTTTCTCTCTTTTATCTGATTCTCTGAATCTAGCTGCCCTAACATTTCCCTTACAGGATGAACCGACTACTGGAATGGACCCTCAGTCCCGGCGCCTCCTGTGGGACTCTATTGTTGGTGTGCTCAGAGATGGGCGAGCAGTGGTTCTAACCTCACACAGGTAAACACAGTTAGAATTCAGAATCCAAGAGTAACTGAAGTTCATCTGTTGGTTTTTATCTCAAATATCTGTTCTCTGTTTTGAAAGTATGGAAGAATGTGAAGCCCTCTGTACTCGTTTAGCCATCATGGTGAAAGGTACCTTCAAATGCCTAGGCACAATTCAGGAGCTAAAATACAAGTAAGTAGAATATTTTTATGGTGTTTTTTAATGGGAAACCTTAGTGTATGTCACGTGTACCATTCTTCAGTGTTTAACTAGACCCATTTCTGGGTGCAACTCTGTGGTAATCCAGATAATTTGAGCAGATCTTATTTCAACAGTTATGCTATGGACCACTTCTGCAGGGCAAATACAGGGCTTCCTACAAAGCTACATCTTATGCAATAGCTTTCAAATACTGTTAATGTTTTCATTGCTGCAGAAAATTAATTTCCTTCCTGAACAATGAAACCATCTCTTCATCCAATTCCCAAATCCACATGTGCTTTCCAGGTTTGGAGATGGCTACATTGTCACTCTGAAAATCAAAGCTCCAAAATCTGGGTTGCCTCCAGATCCTACTCCTGCTGAGCAATTCATACGCATGAACTTCCCTGGGAGTTTACAGAGAGAGAAACACTACAACATGCTGCAGTATCAGATTTGCTCCTCCTCTCTGGCTAAGATTTTTCGGTTAATAGTCTCCAATAAGGAAAGCTTGCACATTGAAGAATATTCTGTGTCTCAAACAACTTTAGATCAGGTGAGTAAAAAGTAAAACATCCACAAGAAAACCTGTTTTGTGAGAATCAGGCAACACAATGGAGATGTATCCAAACAACTGAAAGACCAAAATGTTCAGAGTAGAGAAGTTCACCTCTTTCTCAGGCAAAGTTCCCAGGCCTCTCATCAAGGAGGGTGGATGAGTATGAATCTGTAACTTGTTCCCTGTATAAATAGGTGCCATCTGAAAAGCTGGTAAGACAGCATTTCCCAGATGACAGAATTCATAAAACTCATTCCTTCAGGAGCAGCATCTGAGCAAGGTCAGCAGTTTGGAATGAGGCTGAGCTGAGAATAACATTTTATTTTAAATAAGAGGTTTGGAAGGTGTTGATTCAGAGATACTGTGCGAAGCAATTAGACACACAAAACCTGGAAAGTCCACTGGGACTTTTGGCAACACCCACTTCCTAGAGGGTATTGGCCCCATCTGTCTTCTTTCCTAAGTAACTGAGGGTCCACATTTGCAAAGCTGTCTTCCATGGGATTGCTAGAGAGACATTCCTAGCTGTCTTTCAGCTTCCTACTAAAATATTCTGTCTCCTCTTTCCTATCACAACCAAACTCACACTGTGCAAGCTGTGCAAACTTTGCTGAACCCATCTCCTCCTGAAGAAAAAATAGAATTTTATTTGCCAGCAAGTACATCCCAAGGAAGGAAGTTACAAGAAAGGAATTTACAGGGAAGTTTATCAAAATAAATGAGGAAATCATGATCCTGGCTGATAACGCAGTGCCTCAGTTCAGTTAATGTCTATGGATTCCCCTTTCTGTCTCCTTCCTGAAGAGTGGTCATTCCAGTAACTCATCTCAGTCAAGAAAATTGAGGCCTTTTCTGCTTTCCTCACACAGGTTTTTGTGAACTTTGCTAAACAGCAGATGGAGGATGAGGAAATACCTTTGCATCCCCGTGCAGCTGGAGCCAGCCGTGAAGCAAAGGTGTCGCCTGCTTTGCGTCAGCAGGCAGTTGCATAGACTGTTCTTACAGTCACCAGTGCTTAGTGTGTGCACAGGGCAAAGATGTGTCATACCAGAGCAGCACAAGGCTATAACAAAGGTTCCCACACTCAGTATTATACTGATTTTTTGCACCTTTCTGAGCACTGTGCTCTCAACAACAGCCCTAGCAACAGCCAACTTCTACTGCTCTACCAAGAACACATGACATGACAGTGTCAAAGGAAAGGCAAGTCCTTGCAATAGAATAAAATCTTCCTCTAACATAAAGTTGATTATAAGATACAAGAAGAGAAGTCTCATTCCTCCTTGTTGACATATAAATAGCATCAAAGACAGTTTCTCTGTCTGGTGCTTTCAGGCTGGTAGGTTCTTCTTGTTTAACCCTTATGTCAACTGCTACCAGCCAGCAGACAGGTCCCAAGGCAGAGAGCATTGCCCAGCTTAGAAGCAGATTCCTGCCACGCTGATTCCTGCATGGGACTACCAAGGTCAGAACATCAGTGCTGGCTGATGGGTCTAGTGCGGGGAGATTGCTTCACTGTCTCACCAGGCTGCCAGTGAAAACAGATGGTTGTCTCAGCAAGAATGAAAAGAATTAATTCAGATCTCAGACCCAGACAAGAAACATGCTTTAAAAAAATTAATTAAAATGATCTCATACTCATCTTCAAGTTGCCTCAAATAGAGGCCAAATGTCAAAATGGAGATTAAAAAGAAAGAGAGTATCTCCAAATCTGCCAAAAGTTTTGTTTTCTCGTGGAGACCTGGAAAGATATCTTTGTTACTAAACAAATTTTTCTTCTTTCCTGTGACTGGACATTAAGTGGGTGTAAAGTACGAATAGGGTATGTGCTTTCTCTCTCCTTAGAAGGAAAATTTCAACCTGCTTGTACTCCGCATTGCACTCAGTGGGAAATCATTTGGCATTTAGCGCTTTTCTCTGGTTCACTAGTTCACAAACTAGTGAAAAAAACAATACTGAAAACAAATTCATAATGACATATTGCTTCAGTTATCTACCAGATCTAACCATTTCTAAGAAATCTTCTCTAAAATATGTTATACAGAAATAAAATCTGGGTCATGTATTTCTGCTTTGAAAGTTTTTGTTCTTCAATTGATGTAGATTTTTTTTTATAAGGACATTCTTGCTCTGTACTGTACAAAATATTACAAAACTTCAGCAACCAGCTGTAGCCTTCTCTTTTTGCCATAATTATTTCAACTGATTTGAAAACGTAGTCTAGAATTTATTGCATATTTCATCCTTACAAAATGTTGCAAAAATCTTTCTATACATCCATTATAGATAAATAAAGTAATTGTGAAACAAAACATTATCTATGCATTCTCTTTATATTCTAAAATAGCTTCTTTAAAATATCCTTCAGATAGATTTCAATAGCCTTTTTTATCAGATTTACACAAAACCCAACTAAGTCACACTGAACATCTTGTGAAAAAGAAAACACAGGAAGTCCAAAATGTAGCTAATTTTTCTCCCTGGCTCTGAAAATAGGAAGAGCATTCTGAGGACTAGCAGTCACTTCATGTATTTACAAAGTGTATTAAAAACTGTTCCAAGAAGCCTGATGTAAAATGCTTGGGTAAAAGGTCCTTTAGTATTGTAAGGACTTGTTACATGAAAACAGGCCAAGTATCAAAGATATAGATCAGATTGCTTCTGAACCTTACTTACTAGTAAGCAATTTACTAATGAAGAAGATCAAAAACAAACAAAAAAAACCCCAACAGAGGATGTTACATTCACAAATACGACAAATACTTCTTACTTCAGACTCTTTTGGCAAATTAGGCGTTAGACCCAAATCAGGTTTTTGAGATATTGCCTATTTCTTTATTCCAGGAACCATTCATAATCTTTGGTAATGTTATTTGTTACAAAGCACCTGCCTCCAGGCAGCACACACTCTTCTTCAAGTCAAAGAAGGCAGATCATGCAACTGTCTCCAGGCCAGCTGGCCGTGCTGGCTGAACTGAGCTCTAGTAGTTAGCTGGTATGTCCTCCTTCCAATGTACTTCTGTCTTGCAGAATGCCGCTGCTAAATTTGGAGCTGCTTTTCAGCACAGACTTCTCAGTATTTCTGATCCATCAATCTAAATAGGCTAGTCAGTCAGGTTACAGTGAACTGCAGGGGCTTTCGACTACCAGCTGTGCAATGAAGCTTTATTTTTTAAGGTGCTTGTAAGTTGACAATTCTTGAATGTAAGGAAGTGTAGCTTTCAAGTGCATACAATTTCCCTTAGCAGTGGTGATTAAACATGCACCAAAATCCTTTAAATTAATTCATTTATTTGGCAGGAGGTTTATGAGGTTTTTCTTCTTGAAGTTCTGTGCAATATTCAAATTAAACCTTCTTTTCTTACAACAAAAAGGGAATAATTGGCGTTCTATGACTTGGATAATCCTTGAATTCTCGTAAGTAGGTGCAGTGTTTATCCTTTGCCCAGATTGTCATCTGAATGAAGCAAAGCAAGGTAAACAGCCCCACTGGAAGGAAAGGAAAAAAAGATACATTTCATTATCAGATTAAAAACATGTTCTTGCTGCTGACATCACTTCAGGTTAAAGTACCAAAACATTACTCACCTGGAACACACTGAGTCATGATTGTGAAACTGATCCAGGTCCCCACCTGTTTTGGCCAAGGAAATTTAAAATATTTCTGGTGACAGCATTTGCATTTATGTCTCTATTGATCAAAATAACCTTGTCCTAGTACAGGTAAATAAAAAAGCCAAGGTCAGCCAGATCAATTTTTAGTGTTAATAACCTTTAGCCAAGATGGTGAACAGTGCCTTATTATCACAAACAAAACCTTCATGTTTGCTTCCATAGCTATTACAATGACAAAATTTTAAGCATTTACAACAATGTCCTTTCTGTTTCTCTGCCTAATTTGTATTTGTCAGACCTCCATCAGTGCTAGGAATGGTAACTTTCTATAGTCTGAGACCAAAGGCTCCTCTCTTTAATATCTGTTAATCGCCACTGAATTTAAAACCTGGTGCTGTCCTTCTGTGCACGAGTCAACGTTACACTGAGTTGCACTGATTTTATCTGCTTTTGAACTCAGTCAGGAGTTTGGCTCCCGATTAAGGAATATTAAATTATAAACTGATTCAAGCTTCTAAAGCAGTCACTGCCAACACAAGTGACTGTGTAACTTCAGAGAATGGGAAAGAAGACTTGGGCCTGTTTTCTCTAGCACAATATCTTCTGTTTGTCTGACCATATCTTCTTGCTTGCTGTGATATTCCTAGGATCTTATGTTATAAATCCTCCAGACTTCCCCATCCCCTCATTGCAACATTCAGTGGCAATCTCCCTGTCCCTGGCTGCAGAATTTGCACTGCTTTACAGTGTATCTGTCTTGTATAGCAGCCACACTGATGCACAGGCTCAGGCTCAGGGCTGTCTGTTCAAGTTTAGCCCCATCAGTACTGCCTCAGGAGAGGGGAAGAAGAACAGACAAGTTCCCGTCCACAGTCTGATTTAATGGAGTGGAGGGGAGGAGGGGAAATGTATAGAGCTCAACTGTTTCAGAGGTTTCTCCCATGTTTAACATTCCAAAAGAAATGAAAATATATTCAGCAAAGCTAAAATCTGAACATCTTGTTTGAAAATACATACCTCATATGTATAGTTAGGGCAAGATACAAAGAAAAACAGCCATGTGAAAGGATTCTTTGTTGGATATGGGATCTTACGGGTTTTGGATCCTATAGATTAGAAAACAAATCACAAAATATTCACACTCCTAAATACATAGTTTCCTGTAAAGACAACCCAACTCTGCCTACTCCTGTGTCTCATGACTGTGAGAGGGACAAGCAGGATATGGGGAGACAGGATGTCCTCTGGACTCACAAGAAGGAACAGAATAACTGTGAGGAAATGTTCTGGGCATTAGAAAGTCATCTATTTATGCCTTTGATCACAGTCACTCCTGTAACAAGAGGTATCTCAAATTTTAAATTTAGAAGTTAAAGATTTTCTCAAATTGTCACAGAATGGGATTTTAGCGATCATGGCTGATCGCTGTAAGATGTTTGGCTCATGCCCAAGGAACCCTGATCTGCACAGAGATCTTGTGCCCCCTATAGAAACCAGTGAAATTACTTTTCCTTGCTCACCAAATCATAGCTTTTACTAGCCCTGTTTCCTTTTGCACTGCCAGTGTAACCAATATAACTGCTCCCCCCAACACAACCTGGGCCTTAGCAATAAAAATTACAGTAAGATAGGAAGTGCAGTTCAACAGTCTGATGTTGGATTCTTTGCACTGTCTGATCTCCCTTAGAATCCAATCTTTACAGCGCTGAGCAACCTGTGCTCCCACAGCAGTCAGCTGACAGGTATCAACACCCCCCATGATGAGGTCTTTCACAAGGCAGAGTAGATTAAGAAGTACTGAATGGCTGTGCCAAAGTGAAAAATGATTATTCAGTTTTTACCATTTCTCCGGAGGTCACTGAGTGCAACATGAATGGAAAAATTTCCAGCTTCACACAGCTGCAAGAAAAAGTATGACAGAGTTAAAAATGTGCTTCCCTTCTTCTATTTGTTTTTCTTCCTTTTGTTATTTCCTGGGGTCCTTTAAAAATTTAGGAAAAGGAAAGTAATTTGTTGTAAACGTGATAAATATCCTTAACTGAGAGTACTGTCTGACAGGAGGATATCTTCATTCAAACATGAGTCCATGTCATATTCAGTTATATATTTATGATATTTTCCAGAAAATGTGGACTGTGTCAGAAGATCAAATTTACTGCTTAGATAATCCCCATGAGATCTAAATAAAACAAAGGGGACAAAAGTAAACCCAGGAGATACTTGCTTTATCTTTTGGTCATTCTTATGTCTTTAAAAACACCCAAAAAATGGATTTGCATAGTTTTGGTTTCTCAAAAGTTATTAAAATCCCAAGGAAGATAGAGGTTGGACTCTAAGTAAATTTTCTTCCCTAGAGTATAATTGCTATGAATCATGAAGTAAAATTGACCCAGCTTCCTTCACTGGTTTTAAAGGATGCTTCCCCAATCAATTATAAAGAAAGTGCATTGAAATGACCCATTTATATGATTTTGGACAGTCTCCAGTGTCTGCAAAGCATACCATTAAAGCAAATGACTAGTGGTCAGAGCTCCTGAGTTTTGTTCCCAGCTCTGTCCTCTCTGTTATGGAGTCTCTCTACAAAATGTGAATAGGTCATGAACTCATAGAATTTTCATACTAGGAAGCTGCTTTGAGATCCTGCAGTCACTGACAATTAATTTGTCAAAGTGAACAGCTGATGTGCTAAACAAGTTACCCATACATAGGAAAAATCTTTATATATAGGTCACCTTTGTTGGCTACAGTAACATTGCTTCTGCATGTATGAAATGTTCCTGGGAACTATGAGAATGAACAGTGATGAAGAATTTTGATTCATAAGGAAAGCTGTAAAATTTTCTGAAGCTCAGCAAAACGAAACTCTATCCCTGGACATTATCAGTAACATACTTTCTTAGTTGGTCTAAAACTCTCTGAGTTTTATGATCTGTTGTGATTCTTAACGCTCAAGAAAGAGTTCACAAAACAAACTCACTGGCTTTTAAACATAGTGTCACAAACTGGTAGTTCCAGCTTCTTTAAAGATTATGAGAGGTCATCCCAACAGTTAAATATCCTAGTCTTGGAATGGATGTTGAATGAAAATATTCCCTTGTGTACAAAATCACATTAAAACTTGACAGATTTACTGTTCTGCATGTAAGTGGTCAGCTTTAGTGCTATGTTCCAAATGTTCAAGTTCTAAGTATCTGCTTATCCTACTCGCTCCTCCACTTATACAACAGAAAAAATAAAACAAGATATTTTAGCATTTTATAGAAAGAGCAACAAACCTACCAGAAACATGATCACAGCAAAATTTATCTGTTTTTTCCCATAAGCTATTAAAAAAAAAAGTTTACATATGATTAGTACTAGTATGCAAACACAACAGTACTTAAATCATTGTGGGTTGTTTTGCTACTTACAGGGAGGAGTGTAAAGAGGATGATTGATGTAATATGCAAG